TAAAAATCGAGAAGCTGATTTACGAACAGGTCTATTATCTATTAAAGATACATTGAAACAATATAAACGAACACGTACAGCGGCATTTTCACGTGAAAATTCATTCTATGAAACGAAAAAAAAAAGATACGCCCAAATCAAATACTAAATTGAAGGTAAAAATAGAATCAGCTTTAATTGCAGATTTGTGTTTTGATGAATCTGATTATGAAGAACATTATTTGGGTAATATGGATGGTGTGTGTGTTTATTGCGAGGCGCAGTACTTTAAATCAGAATTGAATACAAGAAAACAATATAATGTTTGTTGTAATAAAGGTGATGTGAAGTTGTCAGATGATCCACCGTATCCTGAAGAAATTATTGAATTATCACGAAAAAAAAATTTTTCATGTAATACTCGATCGTACAATAATGCATTAGCTTTTGCGTGTTTTAGTGCAGCATTAACAACATTACCTGGAATTCCGATTATTAAAATAGGTGGGCAAGTATATTATAATGTATATTCTTTACATCCGGAAAGTGAAATGCCAAGGAAATACGGGCAACTGTATATTAGGGTGTCCGTTATTTCCCGACTTTTTTGTATTGCTTCTCCCCCCACCTAGATGTCTTCTATTTGATAAGACAATGAGAAAGCCGGGTTATAGAGTTCGAAAAAATGATTTTAAGGTGGCCCCCAAGCGGCTTGAAGCTTACATGTATTTTAAATGGGAAAAACTTAAAAATTTGATTCTCAGCGATAAAAATGATGAAAAAATTTGAAAAAATTCAGCAACCCATGTATTTTATGTATTTTTTGACGAGGAATCGATTGGTGACCTTGAATTTGACCTTGAACATAACCTCAAAGCTACAGAGAACCAAAAATCGTTTTTTTCACAGTGACCCCCATTTTTTATTGCAGATTCGAAAAGAGCGGAAAATTTCATGTCTGATTATGTCTTTCGATTTTTTTTCAAGGGTATTCAAAAGGCGCTGCAGATATAGATAAAGCCCTAACTAGTAAAAACTCGAAAATTGCACGCTAAAATTAGGGTTTTATTTGTATCTGTAGCATCTTTATAATGCCCTTGAAAAAAAATCAAAAGACATAATTTGACTTGAAATTTTCCGCTCTTTTCGAATCTGCAATAAAAAGTGGGGGTTACCGCAAAAAAAACGATTTTTCTCAATATTTTGTTCGCTGTAGCTTTGAGGTTATGTTCAAGATCAAATTCAAGGTCACCAATCGATTCCTCGTCAAAAAATGCATAAAATACATGGGTTTGCGAATTTTTTCAAATTTTTTCATTATTTTTAACGCTGAGAATCAAATTTTTAAGTTTTTCCCATTTAAAATACATGTAAGCTTCAAGCCGCTTGGGGGCCACCTTAAAATCATTTTTTCGAACTCTATAACCCGGCTTTCTCATTGTCTTATCAAATAGAAAACATCTAGGTGGGGGGAGAAGCAATACAAAAAAGTCGGGAAATAACGGACACCCTACTTTATATATTAGATCCATGTGCTGCTACAAATGAAAGAGTAGATAATATATATAATAGTAAGTGTGAGCGTGAAATATTCATTATGTTGGATAACTTGATACGTAAAAATAATCCTTATGCTGAATCCTTTGAAATGATGCATGAAGTTGAAAGACAAGAAATCGAAAATCAAAAAAGAAATGGACAGAAACCTCGTGAAGTTAGAATGATATTAACGCGTAATAAGATAGTTAATAAAAATAGATATAATTTACCAACGTGCAATGAGGTAGCGGTAGTATTTGTAGGTAATGATGGTGTTTTGCCGATCGATCGTGATGTGTGTATATTTTCACGCCCCCAGAAAAAAATATCAAAAATACCTCTTATAAGCAAGCATGCAGATCCAATGACGTATCCTTTAATATTTCCATGTGGTGGTGAAGGATGGCATCCTTATATAAAATTAATGACAACAAAAAATAAAAATTTAAGTACGTGCGATTTTTATAAGTATCGATTTGCAATGCGAGGAAAATTTAATCAGTATTTGCAGATGGGACGGATTACTCAGCAATATGTCATAGACGCTTGGATTAAAGTAGAACATTCAAAGTTATATTTTATTCGAAAAAGTCAAGCAAAATTACGTACTTATATGTATAGAGGATTGATAGATTATCTTAATAATAAATCGGAAAAAGAAAATACGAAGATCGGAAAAATGGTGATATTGCCATCTAGTTTTACAGGAAGTCCTAGAGCATGTAGAGAAAATTATTTAGATTCGATGATAGTCGTACAAGTGAAAGGGAAACCTGATTTGTTTATAACAATGACCTGTAATCCAGCATGTGTTACATAATCTATGTAACTGATTCATAGGCACACGCAATCGGGGCATGTACAGCGGAATCAGTATGAACCGCGCGCACGGGCAATCAAAATTAGCACAAGACACCCGAAAACAAGTGTCGTGCTATCGCGACAAAACATCTACACGGGTGATGTCTTTGGCGGTTCGTCGCTTCTTTACGATAATGATCACCGCGACTCTTAAGCCGTCGTCGCACGGCCGCGTATGTTATCAAAATTCGAGGTAACCCGGAGTTACGCATAAGCCGCGCTTTGATGCACGATGACCGCGCGTAACCCGCTGAAGAGGGCCATAAATTCCGTAGGGCATCGGGAAAAATAAATGACGTGACGGCACCCGCGGTGTTGCTCGAGAACAACAAAGTCCTCAAGTGACACAGATACGGCGGGGTATATAAGCGCGGAGCAAATCAGCCTCCGGGGCAATTCGGGCATTCGAGCATTCGAGCATTCGAGCATTCGAGCATTCGAGCATTCTTTGAGTCTTCGTCTTTCGTCTATAATCATCGTGTTCGAGATAGCCTCCGTCGATAGCCAGTGATAACGCGGATAGCCCTCGGCCAGTTCAACCAGTGACCACCAAGTATCAGCCCAGCGGAACAGCCGGAGTGTGTATTGCGTGAGAGAGAGAGAGAGAGAGTGCGAAAATAAATAGTGCAGTGTGTGCATCTCGTCAAGCAGTGTATCAACATAATCAAAAGTAAGAAATAAATATTATATTTAATTGTAAGTCCAATATCAACTCATTCAACCTTCCACCAGCAGTATCGGCAAATAAACTATTAAATTTATAAGGGCGTATGTATAACGTTCAGTAGTAGAGCCGTAACACATGGAAGGAAATAGTGGAAAATATAGAAGAACATGAAATTGTTGCTGATCGACCTGATGTCGTTGTTAGAGTTTTTCATGAAAAGATGCAGATGTTGTTGAACGATCTGACCAAGTGTCATATTTTTGGCGAAGCTGTTGCATTCACTTATGTCATCGAATTCCAAAAAAGAGGTTTACCTCATGTGCATTTGTTGTTGTGGCTTAGTAGCAGTAATAAAGTACGAAATTCAACTGATGTTGATAGAATTATTAGTGCTGAGATTCCAGATGAAATTATGTATCCGCGATTGCACCAGATTGTAAAAAAGCACATGATACATGGTCCTTGCGGTTGTCAGAATGAGTCGGCGCCATGTATGGACGTGGAAAAAAATGAATGCACAAAAAATTTTCCGAAAAAATATATTAGTACGACAATGTTTAATACTAACAGCTATCCTTTGTATAGAAGAAGACGAGATAATAGAACAATAATATTTAAATCTAAGGGAAAGAATACAATAGCCGATAATCGATTCGTTGTACCGTATAATCCGTATCTTCTTTTAAAGTATAACTGTCACATAAATGTTGAAGTGTGTACTACGATATTATGCATAAAATATTTATTTAAGTATTGTTATAAAGGACACGATTTCGCTATGGTGAAAGTAATTACCGACGACGTACATGAAGGAGATTCAAGTATAGATGAAAAAAGTAAAGATTATGATGAAATTAATCAATATATTAATACAAGATACTTATGTCCACCAGAAGTCATGTATAGGATTAATAAATATAAATTACATGACATATCACATGCAATCGTTAGATTAGCAGTTCATAAAGAAAATGAGCAGAACGTGTATTTTAATGATAAGGAAGAGAATGTTGTACGAACGAAAAATGTTAGTACAACCTTAACTGCTTGGTTTGAATTAAATGTAAAGTCTGCGGAAGCTAATAAGTATTTATATATTGAAATACCGTATCATTATGTATATGATGATACAAAAAAAATTTGGGACTTAAGAAAAAAAATGACGAAACCTGTATTATCGAGAATGTATCAAGTGAATCCGAAAGAAAGAGAGAAGTATTATCTTAGATTGTTATTGTTACACGTGCGTGGTGCAAAATCTTTTGATGATATTAGAACATATGAAGGTACTACGTATAAAACATATTTTGAAGCAGTGAAGAGTCGCAATCTAATAAATATAGATAATGAATGGGATATATGTTTATCGGAAGCAGTAGAAGTTCAATTTCCTTACGCGTTATGTGAATTATTTTCGAATATTTGTATTCATCATAATCCATTAAATATTCTTGAATTGTATGAGAAATATAAAAGTTTTTTCTATCATCCGTCAATGTCAGAAGAAGTAGGTACGCAGTGGGCACTAAGACAGATTGAAAAAATATTACATATTAACGGATATAGTTTAAGTGATTTCGAATTACCAAATGTGCAGGGTAATGAAAATGATAATATAGAATTTATAGAAGATAATATGGATAATAATATTATAAATGTAGATTTGGAAAGTAGAAAAGAAACGTTGACTGTTAATCAAAAAAAAATATTTGATGAAATATTGAAGTACATTGAAGACCCAGATTGTGATCGATATATATTCATTGATGGCCCGGGTGGTAGTGGAAAGAGTTACTTGTTAAATTTTACGATAGATTATTTAATAAAAATGGGAATATCAGTATTGCCAGTCGCATGGACAGGAATTGCATCTAATCTTTTGAGGAATGGCTAGACATCACATATTGCTTTTAAATTACCTTTAAATATAAACGAAAGTACAGTGTGTAATATAATGGCAAATTCTAAATATGGAAAATATTTACGTGATGTTCAAGTTATTATTTGGGATGAAATTAGTATGGTATCTAAGCATGCATTCGAAGCAGTTGATAGACTTATGAAGGATATTTGTAATAGCGACAAAATTTTTGGTGGAAAAATAGTAATTTTGTCAGGTGATTTTAGACAAACCTTACCAATTGTACGACATGGTAGTCGTACTCAAATAATAGAAAATTGTATTAAAAATAGTGTTTGTGGGATAAATTTCAGTCATTTTCGCTGTTTGAAAATAAGCGTCTTACGGCCAAAGATGATAATTTTAAGAAATGGTTACTGCATGTAGGTGAAGGTAAACGAAGCAATGAATACGAGTCCGAAAATGAATCGATATATATCCCAGATGATTTAATTTGTGAATTTGAAGAAATAATAACAGAAATATATGGTCGTCAAATAAGAACGGAAGATGAATCGACTCACGATAAAGTTATATTGGCTCCGACTAATGTTGAAGTGATAGAATTGAACAATAAAATATTATCAAAAGTGGAAGGAGATACGCGAGAATATTTAAGTATAGATGCAGTATCGGATGAAGATGGTGAGTCTTCGCATTCATCAGTGCCAATAGAAGTTTTGAATACTCTGACTCCTAATGGGATGCCTCAACATAACTTGATATTGAAAGTGGGAGTCATTGTAGTTTTGTTGAGAAATTGAGAAATTGAGAATATCGATAATGGTCTATGTAATGGAACTCGATTAAAAGTAATAAAGTTAATGAAGTACAGTATACTATGTGAAATTATTAGTGGTAATAAAGTAAGTAGAAATGTTATTGTGCCACGAATAGATTTTGTTTCAGCAACGGAAGATATTCCATTTAAAATGACACAAAGACAATTACCAGTACGTTTAGGATATGCAATGACAATTAATAAGTCACAAGGACAATCATTTAATAACGTTGGAGTATTGTTAATATCACCAGTATTTAGTCACGGGCAATTATATGTAGCGTTGTCAAGAGTAAGGTCAAGAAATAATTTGAAAATAGTTTTATCAATCGAAACAAATAAATGTATGAAAAAAAAAGGAAACGCTACATAAAAAATATGGTAATATGAAGAACTATACAAAAAATGTTGTGTTCAAAGAAATATTATAAAATATGATAAGTATAACTATAATAATTCAATGCCGGTAGAATTTTTGAATACTTTAACACCGAATGGATTGCCACCGCCAAATTTAATACTAAAAGTAGGCGTCATAGTTATTCTATTGTGAAATTTAAACATCAATAATGGTTCATGTTAAAACGCATAACATTGCTAGATTGGGAAAGTGGAAAATTAATAAATCAAGTCATTATAAAAAAATTTTGTAAATATGAATTAAATTAGTTATATTTGCTGTTTAAATTTAATAATTATGATTAATAACATTTAATTATGGTAATAATTGTTACGTCCTCTTCCTGGACGATAAGGCTGGTGTCGCTGGGAGTACCAGTATCGGCGACTTTGGCCCCCACTCCCACGATATCGGACTCGTACTGTATCTGAAATAATAAGGTACCCTACTGAAATAAAAATGTACTCTATGTTGAAATGATAAGGTTTCACACTCGGAATAATTTAATTATAAGGTCAATAATTATAATTAACGAAATGGTCTAAATTATAGGATTCATACAACAAATCGAACTGTAAGTGCTCACCATATGAGTAAGATGTGGAAGGTACTAAGAGTACCCGAACCGGTAAATCGGGCTGTGCAGTATCTGGCGTAGGCAAATATTGGGTCGAAGTGCCAAATTGCGGTTGAGTATATGGTAGTACTTGCATCGGCTGTATCTGTTCCGTAGACTGGATGTAACAGACAGACGGTGAAGGTGCTGTTGTAGGCAACGGTAGTTGGGCACAAGGCGACGGTATTGTTGACTGTTGTGATGATGGAGTTTGTTGAATTGCAAGCACCTTCGTCGTATCATGGAGATCTGATGTTACTTGTCTCACAGCATCTTGCAACGTTTCAATTGCAATAGTTTGTTTGTCTTGCAGTGTAACGCACTGCATCAATGATTTCCTTCCACGTATCATGCTGTGGCTACAAATATAAATGTTGATACGTTTAATAAAATAATTTAAAAACAGAATAATATAATTTGAGGCTCGAGTATGAAGCACTGCAAAGTATAATTTTGGAGTACGTTATGTATTTGGTTAGAGTATCGATCGTCACTGTAATGTGTATGTAATATAACATGTCTGTAATGTAACAGAATGTGTATAAATGTAATGCGCACATAACAAAAAGAAAAAGATTGGTTACAATATATGAAAGATGCAGTAATAACGCGAGGTGTTAGAGTACAAAAGAGAGAAAAATACTTACAAGGTCTGGTTTCGGAGATTTAGATACAAAAGATCCCATTGTGTATTTAAAATTGAAGGAGAACTGTAAAATATAGGACGCATTTGAGTAATGTGATTGGTAAAAACTACATATGCACAGGAAAGTATGAAATAATAAATGAAATTGTACTTACATTTATAACCACAAATTCAGATAGAACAATACAACGGTATGACAACGATCTATCATCACAATAGAATCAGACGCACATGGCAGAAAGTGTACAATGACGCTAACAAGTTATGTCGGTAAAACGTATTAGGCATAAGGTAATCGTGCTCTGTGCAAACTCAGTTGGTAATATCAGAGTATGATAAAGTAGTAATAACTTTAATTAAAATACTATGATTTTAATTATAACTTCAATTAAAATACTAATTGAAATTTAAATACTATGATAATGGTATTATTATACAATAGTTGAATCTAACGTAGGAACATATGTTTTGTAATATTGTAATAAACTGTAGTGAAATTCTTCGTGGCTTGAGTAAAAATTTTGGTCGTTAATGGGTTAAAATGAACTTGAAATAAAAACAAAATACATGTTTCAACACAAAATTTTCCGCTCTTTTCAAATCTACAATAAAAAATGGGGGTATCCGTTTGAAAAATCGATTTTTGAGTTGCTGAGGCTTCAAGGTTACGTCCAAGGGCAAATTCAAGGTCACCATCGGATTCCTCGTCGAAAAAAACGTCGGGTATAGGGTCGTTGATTTTATTTTAACGAAGGTCGTAGGTCGTGTGGAAACGATATATATGGGTCATATCATAAAAGAGTTGATAGCTCAAAAAATCGAATTTTAACTAAATATATACTTTTAAAGATTACCTGAAAAATAAAAATCCTAAAAATCTTAGCCCTCTAGCTCCATCCCTCATGGATTTATAGGGGCTCAAAGTTGGATATTCAAATTTTAAATTTAATTCTGTTTTTCTTGGGTGATTTTGAAAAAATAGTTGAATTCTGAGATATTTCCAGGGGTTTCCATACTTTTGTCGCACCCTGTATAATGACAGAATTGATTATCTAAATCAACGACCATTTCCTAATAATAAATTTACAACTTTTGTAGTATTGTTTTATGCAGATTGTAACACTAAATTTAATGCTGCATTTCCATATAAGTCGGTTGTATGTAAGTTGAAATTTTGTTGATGATGAATAGTTGTATCAAAAAAAAAAAAAAAAAAAAAACATTCAAAAGAGCAAAAGGGTCGTAAAATTCATAAATTATGAGATATGTATTATTCCATTTTTATTATATAAGTGTATGTCAGCTCTATTTTCTAGGAGAAGAGTAATTATACGCTTGGTTCGGACTTTTGATAGTATGCGAAGAGGAATATTAAAAATTTCGTTTGTTATTAAAGATGGATCTATATTATTTTCTAAATATTTTTTACTATCCTGTAATTCCAATAACAACACGCTATATAGAAATGTGAAAATCGGAACTCATCAGTATAATTCACGTTGTAAGTGTCATATAATTTAAAAAGGGAAGGAATGGAAGAAGTGGTGTGGAAACAATATACAAATGGGCTATTCCACAACAGGTGTTGCAGGCCCAAAAAATGAAGTTGAAACTAACCATTTATCTTCAAGATCACAATGTAAAATGAAAATCCTGAGCTCCCTAGGTCCAACCCTCATTTATCTACAGGAGCTCAAAGTTGGACTTTGATGTTTTGAGGATATTCTGCTTGTTACTCTGCTTTTCTAGGGTGCATATGAAAAAATTTCCAAACCATGTTTTTTCATATAAAATTTCATGTAGAATTCTAATCTGTACTCAAATAAGACATTCCTAATCTCAAAATCTCTTATAATTGAAAAAAAGAGTTAAAAAAACTATGAAAGTAAAAAGATAAACATGCTTGTATACCTCAAATTGGCCTAATTTGTAATATGTTCATCGATACACCAAAATACAACTTCTGATAAAGTTTGGTGACTGAGTCACCATTACAGATCATTTAGTAGCTTGCAAAGGGCCAAAAACCATGAAAAATGAGGAAAAAACCATGTTTTTTAGCTACCAAATTGTCTATCATGGTGACTCAGATACTAAACTTTATCAGAAGTTGTATTTTGGTGTAACGATGAACATATTATAATATTGACCAATTTGAGGTATACGAACATTTTTGTTTTTGACTTTCATGGTTTTTTACACTATTTTCTCAATTTTAAGGGGTTTTGAGATTATGAATGTCTTATTTGAGTACAGATTTGAATTCTACATCAAATTTTATATGAAAAAATATTGTTTAGAAATTTTTTCATATGCACCCTAGAAAAGCAGAGTAACAAGCAGAATATCCTCAAAACATAAAAGTCCAACTTTGAGCTCCTGTAGATAAATGAGGGTTGGACCTAGGGAGCTCAGGATTTTCATTTTACATTGTGATCTTGAAGATAAATGGTTAGTTTCAACTTCATTTTTTGGGCCTGCAACACCTGTTGTGGAATAGTCCATATATACGACAAAAACATCACAATACTAATATCTAAATATAGCCTTTCAAAAAAGTTTTTTGTTGTCGATTTTGTGTTAAATGTCTATTTTTGTGGTAACTGTAGACCAAAAACATTAAGAGCCGAAAATCTTAAACTATAAAATTATTAAAGACAAACCCTTTTTATTATTAAAAAATAAAATGTATTTCATTTCAAATTGCAATCATGTACATTAATAGGAAGTAACAATAATGTAAAATATGCAAGAACGAATACTGTTCATAGGTAATGTGGAAACGATATTCTGTATAGTAGTGTAAAACTCAAACCCATAGTTTTGCCTATTCTTTTACTTCATTTTTAATAAACGAATTCCAATTTTTTTTAGAAATTTGTCAATGTTATTAACAATACCATGTCAGAGCAGGGGACGTTGGAGGAGGGGAGCCTGGAGGAGGGGAGGGAGGGGGGGCATTTTAGGAGGGGAGCCTGGAGGAGGGGAACCCTCAAAATACCGTGAAAAATGACACAATTTTACGTTATTTTGAGGGGAACCTGGAGGAGGGGATCTCGGAGGAGGGGAACTTTATCGTCTATATATATATAGTAAGATATGTGTGTTTATACGAGTAGGTATGTATGCGTGTAGCTAGAAAACTCGCAGCACGTGCACGTGTGTGCGTGTGTCAGTATACACACGTACACGCAGAGACATGGAAACTGCTGCTGCTCCTGCTGATTCCACTCAAGCTCTGGCATACAGATCTTTGTGCACATACCTGTGCGCGCGTGTCTGTGTTGGAGCTAGCAGCTACCTGCATGCATAGCACAGACA